TAAATATTAGAGTTATCTTATGAAAGCAGATAGTAGTAATTAATTGGAATTTTCTATTATAAAATTTTTTTCTTTTTCAATTTATTACATTAAAATTCTACTCTTCGCTATTTTTATGATCGCAATTTTATATTAAGTTCAATGTTAAATATGCAATCCAAAAAGTTTCTTACAATCCTCATCTAAATAGATGAAAAATATTTATATTACATAATATTATAAAACATAATATTAAATATTAACAAAATACAAATTTATAATCTAATAATTTCAATAATAAAAGTAAATTTATCATTATCGTGTTCATTTCCTCACTATTTTAAGTTGAGTTTTAGAGAATAGTCTTATTTTTTTATATTATAGCAATAATACATTACATTAGAAATTAACCATCTTTTAAATAAATAAAGCTGGAATGTCTAAACGTTAAAGAAAAGGCTTAAAAGGTTTAAGAAATAAAATTGTTTTATATTTTATTTCCTTTACTTCATTATCTAAAAATATATCTTCACAACGAGTAAAAATATTCTTATTGCATAATTTATATATATTTTTAGATAATATTTTTAAGAAATGATATTGTTTGACCCGCTCAACCGGAAAAGGTTCAAATAAGAAATTAATGATGGAGCCTCGAAATTTTGCATTGATGACGTCATTGACGAAAAATAATTAAAAGTAAGTAGAAACTATCTCCTGCGTTTTATAAATTATGTTAATTTCAGTATTTACAAATTTCGCTAATATTTATATTTATTTCTCGATTATACATATTTTTTAATTACAAAAACATAAGATAGTTTTCAAAATTTCAATATTTCAAAGTATTCGATTAAACTTTTTTTTTTTTACCGTTATAATCACACCAAAACACTTATTTAATACTATTATTTAATAATGCACTTGTCTACTTAATTAATACGTATGGCATAAAATATATTTCACCCAAAAGTATTTGTAATAATAAAATATTAGTTCTTTTATTAATTTTATCAGTATATAGTAATGCCAAGTCGACGATTTAATTTTTAATCATTTGGTGTATTAATATTTGATTACACATAAAAAATATCTCGAAATTTACACATAATTTACTAATGCAAAAATATACTAAATTATAAGTAATATAAAATAAAGTATTGCGAAATATTCATCAATGACAACCTGTATTATTTACATAGATATTACATATATATATATATATATATATATATATATATATATATATATATATATATATATCTTGTGACATATTGTACGTACTTAAAAGAAATATAATGCTAATATAATTTAGAAAATAATATACTGCATATGACAACAATTTTCATTTAAAATTCATTCACTGAATTTTAAGTTTATCAATGTAATAGATTTTACTGGAATACACAACTGAATCGAAATTGTTTCACTTATTTACTTAAATATCGATTAAAAAAATGTTTTTCTTCCTATATAATTATATTTAAAAAATTTTTTTTTAAAGTTATATATAATTTTCTTATTTCAAATAATTACAATAGCCATCTATGTTAAGCAAAACACCCGATTCTATTATTCAAATAAATAAAGTCAATATTGTGAAGAGATTATTCAATATTATTACGTACATTTTTGTAAATCCAATAGATTAATTATATAATTGATAAATGTACTTTAGTTTATTTTTCTAATCTAATCTAAACATTGGCCGATTATTGTAATTATGACACTGCTAAAATTGATTATATCGGGAACTATAGGAAAGAATTAATTTCATAATGAAGAGTACAGAGATTATTTTCATCTATCGTGAAATAATTAATGTTATCGATGATAAAAGTAACGAGAATTTTTCTACAAATATCACGTTATCAAATATATAAAATAAGTCGACAATATCAGAATCTAATAATTGATAAAAATATTTATATCATTAACTCTTTCCAGATGTAATATTGCGATAGATACTGAAATTAAACTAAGGTGTTAAGATCTAGATAAATCAAATTCTTCTAAATTATAAAAAAGTTATCTGTCAAGAATACATTAAGTATAAAATAAAATTTAAAACTACTATTGCTTCGTAAAACTTAGATAAATTATATAATAGTTATTCATTTATATTGTTTTCTTTATAATTACATTTATTTCTATACATTCAATACATTTCTAAACATGTAGGCAATTGCATTCTACTTCTATTTATAAATGATTTAAATTAATATTGATTATTATTATATCTAAATTTTGATGAATTATCGCCCCCCCCCACTCCCCCCATTCTCATAAATACGTCAATTTTCTAAAACACATACATGTACCAATAAAGAAATTTAAAGCACTTTTTAAATCAAGTAAATTTTATTTTTCTCGTTATTGCAATATATCTTTGTATAAAATGCTTAAAATGTTTCTTTTTTTTTTTTTTTTGAATTTCGAAAATAGGTGATGTTTCGTATAGAGCATAATATTTGAATAAATGAATATGAATAATAAAAATGACGTATTATTATTATAAAGAATAAATGTATGTGTATGACCAAAAATTTGGCGAATCTTGACTCATTGTTTGAGTGTTCTGTATTGCATCACTTTTAAACATTATACATTTACGTTAAGATTTTTCGATTATTTTGTCACGGGGTGAAATGAGATTTGTTATTTTAAAATTTAATTATCATGCTCAGAACCGTTGTATATAAAAAGTAAAGTATGATCGATGTGAAGTGATTTAAAATACGATTAAAATATAAGTCATGTTTTCATGTACGAATTCAGAAAACTTCTTGGAAAAAGTTGGAGCACATTAACAGCAACTTTCGAATTATGAATAGAAATATTACAAAATTAGATTTCGAAAGTTTTCTAAAAATAATGAACTGTTGTACAGAATAGCACAGGGAAAAACAGAAGACTTTGAAGTTTTTCCTTGCAAGTCAAAGCTTATAGAATTCCCTTAAATCCCTAAAAAATACATCATTCTTTTCATTCTGAAATGCAAAATTTCAAAAGCCGATAGTTCACAAATTTATAAAGTGAGCCATAATTTTCTTTAATTTTCACATTGTGAAGTAATAATTTGACGACCACGTCGGAATTAGTGTGTGTACAACATACAAAGAATTAAATGAGACATTGAATAATGATTAGGAATAAGATAATTTTAAGAATAAAATGAGATATTTAAAAATTAATATTAAATTACTAATAGGAGAATAAATTGAATTTAATGTAATGAAATTTCACTTTTACAGGACGTAATAGCGGCAACATTAATATTATCTAAAATTAAATCATCTCAAATTAATCAATTTTGAAATAACTTTGACTTTTCATGGGCGCTCCATGGTAATATTTCCCCACATCCATTAACAAACAAACATAACAAAACAAAATAATTAAGCTTATTTTTGTTCATAATTCATTTCGCCGCAATGAAGTACATTACTGTAAATTACTGTCAGGGATCGTTAGATTGTGAAAATGAGAGCAAACGTGTCCAAACGCACGAGTGTCGCTCGGAAAACCGGAGGATTATGAAAGCGAACACACGGTCGTTAACCGTTTCAAACTCGATTGTCAAATCTATAATTCAAAGGACGGTGAATAACTCACTTTGAGTGGCCCATAAAGTGCCATTGCCCAGTTCCTCGAGGTAGCGCTTAAGCTGGGACTTGCAAGTTCCCTCGGGTAGGGTCTGGGACTTGGCAACGACGATCGGCGCCATCGGTACACTTTCGTACCAGTGCCTGTAGCCGCTCCTCTCAAGCTCCATGTCCACATTTTCGTCCTTGTCGTCGTCGTCGTCGTCATCGTCGCCCTCCTCCTCCTTCTCCTCATTTTCTTCCTCCACCTCCATAGCGTACATCGCGAGTCGATTCTCCAACTCATCGAGGCTAGTGTTGCCGCTGCTGGCGTTGCCGAACTTGCGGAGCCAGCGGTTCTCCGACCTCGAGAACAGCTCCTCCTCCGCCCCAACGAGCAACGACGAGACGAGCAAGGCCCCGAGCAGCCAGAGCTTCGGCATTCTTCGCCTTCGTAGCCGCCCTCGAATTCAATTCCCGAGTCGCGACGATGCCGGCCGAAGTCGCCGCGCGAGCAGCGCGCGCCAGGAAGCGTAAAAATGCCGGCTGGTCGATTAATCGGGAGCGCGGCCGTTTCGTGTGCTCTCGGCGCCGAGCCGATTTGTCTATTCAGCCGCGAGGGCTTACATCTTACGACTTTATCGTACGATCGCCCCACCACCACGCCAGCGACGTCTCTTTTACATCCATCTGGTCCTTAATGCGTCGGGCGCTCGATGCACGCGCTGGAGACAGGCTCGAGACAAAAGCCGTGGGAGGGATGGGGAGGATTGGGTGGGAGGGATGGAGGGAGGGGGAGTGGCGCGCCCGTACCGCTGCTCCAAAGGCGAAATCCAAGCACGAGCATTTCGGTGTGAAAATTTCGGATTACCAAGGCCCGACGACCGAGGAGCTCAATATTCATGGCTCCGGGCGGGCCTCGGATCCCGGCGATAATCCTTCCCATTTGCGACACCTTTATCCGCGCTCATCCAACTACAGCGTCCACGAAATTACGAATATTATGGCCACTTTGGTCTTGACATTGGTGCGGCCGATTAGTTCTGTCCCTTTCGATACCGCGTACCTTCACTACTTCGCACCAGAGCAAGATTATGCGGCTACATGAGAGAGAGAGAGAGAGAGAGAGAATATTACTAAAAGAATCTTGATACGGCAGATTATTGTAGTCGCGTAGGGTCTTGACTTCCGGGAAAACATTTATACGCTCGAGATATAATTGGGCTCGACCAAAGTGTTGAGTTGGTTTTCCAATTTCCGTGGCAATCTTTCGGTTCGCCAATTAATAGTCCCACAAAACTCTTTACACGACAGATATTTGTTAATGGTATTTTATGTAAATGGCTGCCACAAGTGCTTCTCAATGTTGGACTTTCAATTGCATCCAGTATTGAGTACCGATGAATACGATTAATCAACAACAATGACAGCAATATAAAAAATAAAAAAAAATACAAATGAAGAAGAATTATCGTGTAATATTTAGAATACAGAATATTTTTTTTTTAACTCTACTAAATCAATCGGTCAGTGAAATTTCTTAAATATTATAAGCGAAGGAATAATTGCATATACTACTTGAAGAATGGGTGAGCCAATAATTTAAAAATACATTGCAATACCACATTGCAACACATAAATTTCATGCGTGTAATGTCAAGTAAAATATCTAATGCCATATTTAATAAAAAAAAAAAAAAAAAAAAAAAAAAAAAGCTCGTTTACGAAGAAGTTAAGCGAACAGACGCCTATTTTACGAAAGCGATCGTGTGTGTATGATTTAAAAAAAATATTCGTTTTAATTTACAATGTAACTTCATATTTACATAATATTAGTTTTTATATTATCAAATAAATACATTCAAATTCAAATTAATTTTGAATATAAATTGAAATAAAAAATACAATACGGAATTTTTTTAAACATTTGAGTTTTATTATTCTACCTGATTTGTAAAGTGAAAGGTTGTTGGTGACGGTATTTGAGGCAAAGTTGAAAAGGGATGGAACAGACGATATTTAATAGAATAATTAATTATATCGGCCCAGTCCGTCGACCGAAATTTATTCATATTACGATTAACTTAACGAAACGCCGCCTCACTCAACTCTATGCACTGCAATGATGCCATGCAAATATAATTTTATCAGCGAAAACGTAAGTCGATTTATCTATAAACTCACTGGGATTATATTATTTCTCTCTCTCTCTCTCTCTCTCTCTCTCTCTTAAATACACATGCCGAGGCACATAAGCCCGCTCACTCCCTTATCTTCGAACCTTTATCACTTCGAATCGTTCCCTAACTTCCTCTTTCCTTTCTCTCCGCCAGTCTTTCATCCCCAATTTTATAGATTCTATTATTTATACATTGTCACTCCTGATCTTTTTGCGATCCACGTTTCCCAGTTTCTATTTTTCCAAAAGGCCAAGGTCGATCTCATGTCCATTCATCCCATCTGAAGCGTAGCTGAGTTTTCAGTAACAAGGCTAACGCGTCACATTAATTAAATATTAATGTGGTCTAAAACAGCAACGGAAAACAACAAATCTTTAAAGTAATTTCATAGAAATTTGTGAATTTATAAATAATAATGCAAATATTAATATTTGAAAATGTAAAAAGAACAAAACTATATTATTTTTCAAGTAATTGAAACCGTACGTATGAAGAATTTGAATATTGAAAAATATATTTTTTGAAAACCTTTCGACAGTTCATTATTTTCTCTTAATGTTAATACAGATTAAATTGAAAATGAAAATAAATAAAATACAATCAATTATAATATATTAATTATTTTTTGTTATAGATAAATATTTACATTAAAAGCAATATTATTTTGAGCAAATTATTGTTATCTCTTTATAAAAAAAAAAAATTATACAAATTTCTATTCATTTTTTAATACATCGTATAACCTACATATATATATATATATATATATATATATATATATATATATATATATTGAATAAAACTCAGATTTAAATAATCATTAAATATTAACTAATATTTAAGGGGTGAATAAGATAATTGCAACGTGTATTTGATGATTTTCGACAACTTATGTTAAAAAGATTATACTGAAATATATTTGAAATATTAGGCAATGAAACAACGTAGTCTTATATAAATTCTATCAACAATTGAGTCAATAATTTCTTTTAATCACAACAATCGACAATATCGAAAATATCGAAGATCTTTACTAATGGTTGCAAAATAGATAGCTTTCTTAGGTGGTACAATATAATTCTTCATTGAAAATAATTTCATCGCACATGTATGTGATGAAGAATGGTAATGTTTCTACTTGTTTAAAGACTTAGGGTAATGGAAAGGAGTGTAAGGGAAAATGTAAACAATAAGCAAAAACATTCATTAAATTTCAAAGTACTTTACTAATTACTACAATTTTACAATGCAAAATATTATGTAAATCAATAAAAATAGCAAATTTAATGACAATGTTGATAACAATATAAATATGAAATGGCCGTTATTCGATTTTTCATGATTATTCAGAGACAAATGTAATATCAAGGTGGTAACGAAGGCTCCATTGAAATTTAACATTCTATTCATTTTTCGTTGTCCTCTCGTCACACCAAAATTCAAATAAATACTGATATATTCAAACAAAATATCCATGTGATGATAGACATAGTAACTCTTAATTATTCGTAGCTTCTACTTCATTAGCTATGAAATATTATATCAAATACTATTGATTAGACATTGAATTTATGCTTTGGAGATGGGTCTGCCATCTATCAACATTCGAATATTCAAAAAGAATAACTGTAAAAGAATATCTTAAATATCAGTGAAATAGAATTTTTGATATTTTTTCACTCAACACTCAAATCATTTCTATTTTTTTTTTTTTTTTTTTTAAGTCATATCTTTACATAAAATTTGTCTCATTCTTTATTTTCTTTATAATTCCAATTAAAAAGTCAAATTCCATATTCAACTAATTATATAATTAAATGTATTTATTTGTACTTATGCTTTTAATCAGAATTTTTTATTTGCTTGAAATTAGAAGGTGCAAGGGCATAAGAATTTCTTTCAAACCATCGAAAAGGATATATGATTCATACAAAGGAACGCTCATCTCATATATATATATATATATATATATAAGATAATAATAACGTAATCGTCATAAACAAGGATATCTAGAACAATAACAAAAACAATAATAATAATATTATCACTTTTGAGTGCGTATGGGTATATGGCTTACCTATTTCTCAAGTAGAGTGCAAAATAATTAAACATTTTCTTATTCCTTATATATTGAGTCAGAATCATTAAGAATTTGAAGAATATGTGTAATATTAAATTAGCGAATTTAAGAAAATAATGCAATGATTTATTTATTACAGTATTTTTATTTTTAATTTATACTATTCAACCAGATAAAATAATACAGATAATACAGATAATAATCACGAATAACCTTGCTTAATTGAAAATATTTTTCAGCATTCAGTATTTTAAATAGGTTAAAACATTAAATAATATTCTGCCTTGATTGACAATAACTGAATTTATTATTTCATTATTCTTACGTTGATGATTAATTGAATTTTCTCACGGCATTAAGCCTATTAATAGATTGTTAAATATAACTGTTAAATATACAGGACCGATTATAATATTGAGTATAATAAAGAATGTCAAAAAATAAAATTGTTCAAAGCAATTAAATTATCCATTAAATATATGTGTAATTATCCATTACAAATGGACAATGAAAATTTATTCAAATATTATTCATAATGTAATTACGAAAATATCGATGCTCGAGCAATAAGTTAACATGAACATTATACTTTAAAGTTAGACTATATTGTGCAGATAGAAAACCAACATTCAATATAAAAGCAATACCAGTTTTTAATGGCAATTTTAAAAAAATAGTAAGATTACGCCGACCTTTGTAAATGAATATGAAGGACGAACGACCATTGAACTCTATAGCCAATAACTAATTATACAATGAAAGCCTTACTTATAAAAAATAATATTTGTCCATAAGTTAGTAACATATTCTTCACCTCTCTCTCTCTCTCCCTCTCTCTCTCTCCCTCTCTCTCTCTCTCTCTCTCTCTCTCTCTCTCTCTGTGTCTTTCTCTCTCGGTCTGTCTGTTTTACTACCATTACCTTATTCTGCAAATGAACAATGCATTTATTAC